TATCAAACAGAAAACATGAATATATTCAAAAAATTCTGGAGGATAACCACAGGAAACTATATAAGACAGAAGCCATTTTTCTAGGAAACAATATTCTATTCGATGGCATCCTGTCTTATGCGCGGATAAGTTGAAAATGAAGAGTCTCCGAACGATTCTGCCACTTCCAGTGGCAGTGGTTAAGAACATCCCACTATACCTATAGGATAAAATTCAGCCTAAGAAGTCTCTTCATCCTGCACCAACCCGCACACTTCACGCTCGCACTAGGATGTACCGAGTCTTTGCTACAATCTTCCTGGCCAATACACAACTGTGTTTAACTTAATTCAACTACGTCAAGATTATCCAATGCAGAATTGAGATTGATAGCTTAATTTATTATTCTGGAATCCGCTCTACGGTATTGAACGGGAAACCTGAATATATTCAAAAAATTCCGAAGGATGACTGCAGGAAGCTATACAAGACAGGAGCTATTTTTCAAAGAAACAATGTCCTATTTGATGGCATCCTGACTTACGAAAACATCAGGCTACATAGCTGCGCGCATATATCACCACGGGATAAACAATATGTTATCAAATGCATCTCGGTACTTTATAAATGAGTAACCCACGTGAGGACATTCTATTTCCAATCGCCGAGATCAAGAATCCTTATAAAAACCCTTATTAAAGGGACTCTGATGGATTGCAACGAACTTTTGTCTCCGAAATTCCATTTTCAAGCTTCGCATGAAAATCATCTAATCACTTATTAAATTTAAGTGGAAACGTATAAGCTGTCACATCTCGTTATCAACGGAAAGCAGCAGAAAAGGAACGAAGGGAAGGAAACCAAGGTAGACATGTCAAAAGTATTAGTGCATCCTAGGACTGATAGTGCTGCGAGCAATAAAAATGATGAAAGTGACGAAAGTCAAGTTGAACGGAGCCGCAGAGTGATCAAAGTGGCGCGAATTTCTTTGGTGTGCAAAACTGTAGCAAACAAAATGAATAACTGAATATTGTAAAACCACTGAATTAAGAACTCATTGTACTATTAGCTAATAAAGTGTATGTAAAGAAAATGTCGGAACATTGTCGTCCAACATTTTCTTTTAAGGGGGAAGGTGTCACGTCAGACCGACAACACGACATAGAGTCGACTAATTTTTCTTCGTAATTCGAGCCAAGAGAGACAGATATCGCTCGTGATATAAAAAAATTAATTATTATCTACACTTCGCCTATACCATGATGAGAGTAGTTCTTTCTAAAAAAAAGGGAATACAGAGAAGAACTATTGAGCTCGGACGCGAGCAATTATTACTTGAGAGATAATAGTCGTCGGTCGGTCGTATCCTCCTAAGAATTCTCTAGCCTAAGTCGATTTCTAGTTCCTAAGTCGATTCCTAAGTCGATTTTCTAAGTCGATTCTATGTACTAAAGTCGAACTATAACATTAAGTAAGCCTACAACATGATTAAAATTTTGTAAAAATGAAAATTTTATTTGTATTGTAACCAATTTTTATTGTATTGTACTCAAATATTAATTTTAAAATATTTTAAAATACGTTATTAAATATAAAATAAACTAAATATTTAATATAAAATAAATTAAATATTTTAAAATATTTTATATGTATATTTTACTGGTTACTTAATCCAATTTAAATTTTCCCATCTATTCCCGCCTGTTACATACTTTGCTTGATTGCACTCATTTTACCACAGTTTTACTTTTAACAGACATTATCACTTTTTAACTGTCGTATAGTAGGCTGGAAGGACAATCGCTCCCCGCTAATCTCTGATACATTGATCAATAGATATTAGAGTAAACCACCGCACATTTGATGCTCAGAGATCATCATTCATCATTTCAGAGAAATTAAAATAAGATTAATTACCGTTAAATCTGTGACGAGCAAAGCGGAAACGAATACATAAAATGCGTCATGCGAGAGACAACCAGCTCAACTATAACGCAATGTCGCTGATTCTATTCCTAATGATTACATGAAGGTAGATTATATATTAAGGTAATCCTGAGTACGAAGAATTCTTCTTTTCAAATCCTATCTTCGTGGTATGATCGATCGATTCTAATATATTATAGTGCACGTTGAAACACGAATCAGATTTCGGATACGAAAAATCTATTGCGGAGATTATGGAGATTCGACGTCCGGAACACAGACTTATATAAATAAACTAAGCTCTTTTACAGAAGCTCGCGAAACAATATGAAAGGAAAACTATACTGCCCACTATCTTCATTGCACTGAAAAAGAAGAGTGGAGAAGGAGAAAAGTAAGAGAAGTAGGAGAAGAAAAATTAGATACGAGAAAGAATAAAAATAAAATCTCATTGCTGCTAGTTACACATTTCAATTTTACATCTTCCTTTTTAGGAATACCTGAAAAAAAAATTTTTTTATAGTTACTTATATATAAAAAAGGTAGAAATATATAAACAATTAATTTTTATTTCAAGAAAATCTGATATTTTTAACAAATAAATTAAGAGTCATTTCTATAAACACACAACAATATTGAAAATATATATCAAATTAAAATATATATTCATAAAAAGAAACATATTGTTCTTGTTCCATATTGCAATTACAAATTCTATTCTTTGTTTCTATTAATATCAGGCACCAATATACACAGATTAAATGCCTAGGTTAGGATTCACAACGTACACGTTAACACGTCTTCCCTACCATACTTTATTACTCGTGAGTTTCTTTCAATAAGAGTCTAAAAAAAGAAAATAATCGTATGATATACCAGTTTTTCACTCTTATCTTGTTTCATATTTTAATATAACTTGTTATTTTGTCGCATAGCCATTTATAAAAATGTTTAATCTATTTGTATAAGTCTATGGTCCCTAAAATTAGCCTAAGTCTGAATGGACAATGAAATCGTACCGCAGTGATAACAAACGCACCTCAAAGAACTGTTCGTGGACAACCAGAGGTTCACTATGACAACATAGTCCCTTCGAGGAGTACATCCCAGGACGAACACGTCCTCTAGGTAAGTAGAACTTCTATTTATATCGCTCTATTTTCGTATATTTACGTGAACTATATTTCATATCCTCAACTTCGAAATGCCATCGCGTATCTCGCGATCGCGCATATCTCCGAGAAAAATGATATAGGTTCATTAGATCTGAAAAGGCAATTTAGTAGAGATCATAAGACTCGAGTACTGTATCCCTCTTGCACAGCTACAGTCAGTACAGCTTGTACAGCTTATACGGTCTTGTACGGCTGTACAACCGATATGTTATACTCTGTATTTAGGCCGCTTGTTTTCTTGTTTAGTGTCTTAGATTAGACATCTCTATTTCCAGTTTTTATTTTTTAGAATCTTACTTTGCTCTCTCATAAACTTGATATATGTTTTAATCTAGACTAAAATAATATATACGTTCTTCTTATACATACCTAATCAGCCTTTTAGAGGACAAAATAGAATTTTGAAAAAATCGATGTTTTTCTTTCGAAGCATGCTTTGTCAAAAATATAAGAGATTTAGATAGCTGAACCTGCGCAAATATATTTTAAGCAGAGCCAGCTACAAATTTTAATGGCAAGAAGACAGCGAAAACAATACAGAGGGAATTTGTTATATTATGACTTAGATTATGTTGCCAAACTACCGCGCCGCCAGAAATATGACAGAGCCTACTGATAGGCAATCCGAGCAGATTGGCGGCGAAAACCGAACAGAACTTGTAACGAACTCATGGCAGAGTATTACCATATAACACATTCTTCCTTCGAACTTTTTCATAATAAGAGATGATTAATACTGATATGCAGAATATATAATCATCAAACATTTCAATATATAACAACAACAATAATATTACTACTAATTGTTTTATACACGATTTTCTTATAGATCTGATTTAACTATACGTTTTCTAAAGGCAATGATACATCATTATTTTAAAAAGATGCAATTAATATAATACTAATATTTAATAAATATTAAATAAATATTATTTGTACAATAAACTATACAATGTGATATCAATGAAAAATAAATATTTAAAAAACATTGTCTGCTCATTGAAGAGAATATACTTAAACTGTTTTCTTTATAGTAATATTATTTAAACAATCTCTAATTTAGATATTTCTTTGTATATTTCCTAGTATACTTCTTTATTATATTTACAAAAACAAAAAACTCTCCAAATACATAAAAATCTACTATAAAAAAAGAAATAATTTACCCATGAAACAATCAGCATGCATAAATATATTTTCGAATTCAAAAACAATTATCAGGACTTGCACTGCGAAACATACGAGTATATGCCAACATAATTAGCATATATCTGTGTATTGGTTTTAAAAATGTTATGAAAATAAACGTTTAAAGTTCACGTTTATATAAAACTAATATATAATGGGTAGTGTATCAAATATATTACCACATTTTCAATGCAAATATATTACTACATATATTTACTACATATTCTAATATGGTATTGTCGAAGGTGTGTATGTAGTATCTGCAAGTGCTTGTAAAGACAGCTATATATGACAAAAGCGTTTCGTAATCCGGCTTTTTCATACGTTAATTATATTATCAATTTGTTCGTAACAATAAGGTTGCGCAATAGCTCGAACGGCTCGAGTGTTCCTCCTCTACTATTTTACGTACGTGCTCTCTCTCTCTCTCTCTCTCTCTCTTTCTCTTTCTCTCTCTCTCTCTCTCTCTCTCTCTCTCTCTCTCTCTCTCTCTCTCTGTCTCTCTGTCTCTCTCTGTCTCTCTGTCTCTCTCTATCTCTTCCCCTTTTTTATTCAATATTTTAAAATTAATATATTGATGATTTTTGCAAGTATTGTAAGACTTATGTAAGACTTATATAAGACTTATATAAGACTTATGTGTTCATCTTAATACATTCTATTCTCTCACAATTGGTGGCACAAGTATTCTCGAACATCGCGTATATCGATAAATGATATCTTTAAGACACTGTAATAACAGTTTTAAAAATATTCTTATCAATCATCTTTATACACCAGACGTGACTTGCAAGATCTAGTATTGTGTCAATATCCGTATATATTAATTCATGACCAGAATGCATGTTGCATTCTGTTCCGACGAGACGCTCAGTTATATTACAAACATCGCTGTTGCCGTTTATTGTCACGAAATGATTGTTATTATACTTTTATCATTTATTATTATAGTAATTATTGCGTTTGTTTTTAATTATTACGTGCATCATTCAAAACGTGGACTATTGATCGATCAAATACCGGGACCAAAAGCCACTCCGATTTGTGGCAATATATTGCAATTACCAACTTCACCAGGTAAGCAAAAAGTCTTTATATGTGTGTTTCATCATTGTGCTGTTGTGTTATCATTAATTATAAAACATATATGAAATAAAATTTTATATATACAGTGTGTCCCAGAATCTCGTTTTCAATTTTTGTAAAAATGTAGAATAGATTGAGATGAACATAAAAGTCCTCTAAACACAAAGTCCGTTTTGCGATATTTGCAATAAATCTCGAAATATTAATTAAAGAAAATTAGTGTACGATCACGCGCGATATGGTACATGAACTATAGTGGTACCGTCTGCTTGTATACTTACACATTAAGTTAAACTTAAAAAGTCCCCTACCATTTTACAAATGATCACATAGATTTCTAAACATTAATTAAAGAAGATTTGTGTATTATCGTGTACACACACATTCATATTACAATTTCCCTTCATTAATAACTAAAATTCTATGGTTATTTGACAAATAATAAAAGGTTTTTGTTCAATTTGACCTAATGTACAAGCACACGATAACACACTTCACCATCTTAATCCGTTCTACGTTTTCAAAAATTGCGGAAGAGAGTCTAGGATACCTTGTGTGTGTGTATATATATATACATATATATATGCATAGAATAGAAGGACTGTGTATCTCTGTATGTTTTCTATATATTTCTAAACTATTTGACTGATCTGGACCAAAATTTGCATAGTTAAATTTGCATAGTTTGTCACAAGATCCTCGATTGTGTGAATGATTTCGTAAATGCTAACATTTATGAAAATGTACATAAAGTTGTGCATTGTAACAAACTTACATGATTTCGTTGACAGTGAAAGCTACATATTTTCTTATATACTTTCATGTATGTACCAATCAACGATCAATTTTTGAGCTTCGAAACTGATAATATGTTATAAAATCATGTATTAATGTAAATGTCACGGAGGTTATGGAGAAGTATTTTCACATAAATTTACAAAGTATAACTCTATTTTAAAGATTGATGATGGGGGTAACTCGAAAAGCATTAATTCTTTTATACAGGTAGTTTACCAAACCGTCAGCTGGTATCACGCCTTGAAGAACGTAATTATATGTTTGAATGTTTTACAGTGAAAATATGGTCGTATTTGCGTACCAAAGCAGATAAATATTATCCCATTTATAAACTATGGTTTTTCTCTGAGGCCTTTGTATCTATCCGTCATCCAAATGATCTCGAGGTACTTAAATGCAAGGAAAGTTATAACGACATAAAAAAATACACACATATAACATATATATATAAGATAAATTATTTATAATTTAATAACAAATATAAATATCCATCACATAAAAAAAGTTATAGATAAGATTTGTTTAGTATTAAAGGAAATATAAGATGACATTATCACTTATATTATAGATAGTGTTATTATAACTTATAGTGTTACTATAAGTATAAAATAAAAATCAATTATATTTTTTTAATGGAAACTCTCATTTTTTAATTTATGTGAAAGTAAGTATAAAAACAAATACCATTTATTCAGAACATTTTTTTGTTTTCTGTGTATGAATCAAACACCCTGTATACAGGATGTCTCACACTCTCCTCCGGGCATTTTGTGGGGACGTAGAACAGGTTGAGATGAACATAAAAGTCCTATACCGATTTGCGATATTCGCAATAATTATCGAGAAATTAATTATAGAAAATTTGTGAATAATCATGCAGGATATGGTAAATGAGTTATAATAGCGACGACTGCCGTATGTACTTATACTTTAGGTCAAATTGAACAAAAAAGTCATCTACCATTTTGTAAATAATCACATAGATTTTGAATTATTAATTAAAGAAGATGAGTGCATTATCATGCAAAATCCTGCTATAATCTTCTTTAATTAATAATTACAAATCTATGTGATTCTTCGGAAAATAGTAGAGGAATTTTTGTTCAATTTGATCTAAAGTATAGATACACGACGGCAACCGTCGTTACTATAACTCATTCACCATATTCTGCATGATTATTTACAAGTTCTTTACAATTAATATCTCGATAATTATTGCGAATATCGCAAAACAATATAGGACATTTATGTTCAGCTCAACCTGCTCTACGTCCCAAAAAAATGCCCGGAGGAAAGTGTGAGACGTCCTGTATATACAGTGTGTCTGAAACCTTTCTTGACACAACTCATAGGAAAGTAGAACGGATTAAACGGAACAGAAACGTAAAATATTATTTTGTAAAATTCGGAATAGTTAATTAGGAATTAATTATTTTATTTGAGCTAATGAATGCTCGGAAAACAGCAGCCGAAAGAAATATATCTTCGGCCGATGCGCGACCGTGATACTCGCGAAACGTGGTTCGTTATGTCCCTCCGCCTATAGCTACGAACACAGCGAGGCTTGATACACTAACTCATGTACATGATATATCCGTGTGCCAATTCGGCGTCAATTCAGCACGCGGATATACAATGTACATGTATTAATTTTACATGTCATTATATCGTTTCCTACATGACACGGAAAAAGTTAACTTCCTAAAGCATAATTCATGAAAGAGGTGATGCTTTAAATTGTTCGTAAAACGATTCATTATTTAGCTGTGTGTGAATTTGAATGTTATAATAAACTGATATTACACAAAATCCTAACTTCTATGATTTCTGTGATTTCAGGCAATATTAAACAATACGAAACATATCGATAAAAGCAAGATATACAATATCTTGCATCCTTGGTTAAAAAGTGGACTTCTTACTAGCACAGGTAATGCAATAAAATAAATATCATAATCGTATATGTGCGCTTTATATTGAAAATGGACGTAACGATATGGATTTTAACGAATATGATTAAACACGATAACGGCAGCCGGCTCTACCTCATCAAAAACAAAAAACGAATAGCTCAGAATGAAAAGCTATTTATGAGCTTTTAATCTTTGGTAGTTTAAAATTTTCAGCTCGTTTTTTTGAGCAAGAATTTTTATCTCTAAATGGGAAGGAAGAGAGACTGAACAAACATTCACTCAGCGTCCTACTTCATAAATTATAATAATGGAATTCAAGATAATTGCAGCATTAGAAGCTATTTGTGAGTTCTTAAACTTGTAGAGATTTGATTTTTTTCTTCCATCCTTTATTATCGTAATAACATGTAAACAATGTATACTCTAGAGATAACTCATAAAGAAAAAAATTCAATTCATTATTTCTTTTATCAGTATTATTAACGGATTAATATACTTACAAAATATATAATTCATAATTTCTAAGCTGCAACCT